CCTCTATTAATCACTCTATATAGGAGGCACGGGGACAGTAACCTTCCCCGAATGGTTAATCATAGAAGAAAAAGGAAGAGAAATACAGATATAAAGAAAGAAAAAGGAGAAGACAGCATGGACAAAAGATAATATAACCCCCTTCCTATACACTCTCCTGTCACTCGATTGCCTTATTCTCTCGCATTTCATCAACCTAGTAATGTTTATTATACAAGTACCCCTTCAACGGCTGAACCCATGCTATACCCCAATGGGAAGAGAGGTGATATCCTGAACTCAATCTCGAAGAAATATTCAGAACGCGATGAGGCACGCTTCCATCCTGTTTTGTCTTTCCTTCGAGTTTGTCCATTTCTGTTTTTCAGACCGACCACATTATTTTGATCGATCGAAAATATCCTGATCCCCCTCCCCTCTCACTTATATCATTATGTTGTTAGTAAGGTCGTTTCCTACTTATACTTTCTCCTGTATCCCCTTTGCCGTTCCGACTTTAGGCCTTTAATTTGCGCTCCAGATAAATGCATTTTGAGTTATTTCTGATGGAATTCCCCTTTCCAAGTCAATCATAATTCTACGATCAACCCGCGAATAAATCCATCTGAAATTTATTAATAATGCATTGGGAAAAATGATGTTGTCACTATTCATATTTTCAAAAAGATTTCCACGGTATAGTCATTCCTAAATTCTGATTTATAATGAACCAACGGATAGCATAAGGAAGTTTTCTTTTTAGAACAATATGAGACATTGTTTCCATGATATCCATTATTCCATGATAAAATCATAATTCTCAAAAGCTGTTTGTTGGGTGTGTTAGAGTAACTTCCATTAAAGGTAAAGACCAGTTATGGTCATGCGATTGCATTGTGAAAGAAACGTTGTGGAATTGATCAGAAAAGGTTGATCATCTAGCATCTAGCATCTGCAAGGATCTGGAATCATCAAAATGATAAGAAATTTGGCCCATTCTTCGTAAAGTTACAAGCACTATACACAGAAAGATGTATATGGGAATACCCTATATCTTTCACAGACCATGAGAGAAACAAATTTACCAAATATATGAATTAGTAGGCGGTATCCCGGCTAATTTTTTATCATCATGTATTAGTCAAAACATATTCTTTCACATAATTGGTAATGAGAGCTTCCATTTCATTTTTTGAAATTGGGACGTTTCCAATACTGGTCCTTACCTTTCAGTATGTGCATTTCGTAAATTAAATGTTCAGTCCGCCTCTGCTCATTATTTTACTTCGTAACCATGTAGAATGCTCTTTACAATTAATTCAATACTTGTTTTATTATAAAGTACACGTACAATAAAATAAACGTGCCCAGTTCTTTTTCACACTTTATAACATTGTCAAATAATGTATGAACACAGATATTATGTGAGAAGGGCTGTATTAGTTTGTCCTTCTTCATATCAGTAAAATGTTTCAGGTAAAGCTACGGTCACAAAGGTTCGTGCGAACGATTATTTCGTAAGAATCTCCCTGTTTTTTCCATTGTCTTCCCGAATTTATATTGTCTGAAAATCGTTCGTACCGCGTTCGTAGCAGTTCGTAATGGCATTTGTGACCGAGGCTTAAGTAAAAAAACATCAGCTGAATCCAACGTTAAATAGAAAGTGCAGATGTCAACATTACTTCGTTTTGTGCATCATACCTAATCCTGTCACGCAAGTGTACAGCTATATTTGGCGTGTTTGAAAGCAAAGGTAGAAAGCTGTAATTGATAGCAGACGTTGTTAGCAGAGGGTGGATCAATGCGGTAATTTCCGCCCAGCAAGGCGGGAATATCGGCGGGATTAGTGCCGCCTCGTCGATTTTTATTGCTCTTTTTTTCACGCGTTGTGATTTAAATCTATCTCTGAGTCTCATTCTAGCTGTGTTCTGAATATCATCTCTTTTTCTTCTGCACTGGCCCCCACTTCATCTCTTCAATTCCCCCTAAAGGTTCAGGTATTCTCATTTTTAGCCAGAGCACTGTTTGTATTATTTCCTAGCATGCTTTTCTTTCCCTTTACTCCTCAAAAGGTAAATGAGTTTGGCGTGTGCGGAGGGGAGGGGGGGGGGGTCTAGTTCATGTATAAATTATTGAGATTTAACTGGCCGCAAGTCGTACTAGATGAATTAAATGTATTTAAATTACTCATAATGTATATTATGAATTACATACATCATTTCGGCGGTTGGGATCTGAGTTCCTTTTCCCTATTCCTTATTTTATCTCCCTGTCCCCGTTCCCAAGTGAATATTCCATTTTTTCTTCATTTTATATCAATCTATAGTGTCAGCCAAATGAGTTTCTATAACAATACCGTCGCATTTCTGCTTAGGATCTAAAAAGGAATGATACTGTCATTAGGGTAGTCGCCTCCTTTCTTTTCATGGCAAAGGCGTAGAACTGCGTAGAATTGACCTTGTATGGCACCGTTATTAAACCGTAATACAAGAACAATATGACAAATATAGCCAGACATCGCATACATCAAGCCGTTTTGATGGCTACATTTAAGCTGTTTTTGTCATGAGAAGAGCCATTTAGAAAAACTCGTCGAAATGTTCTTGGCCGGAATGGAAGCTTTATTTAGCTATTTCTTTGTTATGTCCTTAGACTATGACATGACACTAAAGACACGATATCAACTACTTTCGAAAAATCATTAACCTAAGGCAATCTTAAAAGCCTTTTGTGTCTCTTCTTGAAATGGGCGGAGTTGACAATGAAGAATTACGTAATCCTCACATGGTTTCTGCGGGGCGTGTTATGGAGTATTTAAATTTTCCCTCGACGTGATGTTTCGAAAGTACTTGCGATTGTGTTTAAATTGATCATCTTGAAAGGCATAACCATCTACTCATCCACATATAGATGCCTGTTATGCCATTTCGTCTGTTGGAGGTGTGTGTAAAAGAATGTGTGTCAACGCTTTTCCGGACCTTTAATTAGTAGACGAATTTTCTTGTGGCTTTTTTTAATATATTTTTTTAAATTTACATGTATAAGCGAAGATGCATCTTAAAGTATAAATGTATATATTTTTAAAAGTTGCAATGGAGTTTGTTTCTTCTTTGACAGTCATGGTATACTGAGAAACAATGATAATATTAAAAACAATGATTTTCCCAATGAACACAGTGATGTTAATATAAGTGAGGGTAATCTCAAGAGCCTCATTTTTGACGTTTAATTACAGTGAACTCATCAAAACTATACATTTGGTGTAAAATATTACACATCGATCACCTCGCTGCCAGAATTTGAATGCCCTAGGTTTGTTTAATTGCTATTGTTAATGTTAGTTTTTAAAAATCATAGTTGCTGTTAAAGTTATCGTTATCATTGTTACTTTTTTAACTCACTTCTTCTGCAAAACATACAAATCAAATTAAAATTCAGCGATACAACATAAACAAAATATTAAAAATGTGTTTAAAGTGTACACAGTATTATAATAATATAAATCTTGACATTAAACAGAATGTAACTGACACACTATTAAGAATTATTCATTAATAAATCTGCGGAAGAAGGGCTAAGAAATAAAATAAAATAAAATAAGCACTGGCTTGATAGCGTGATAGCCCGGGCGGAGAGGATGGGGTGGATGATTATAAACATTGCTACAAACTGATGGTGGTGATGACGTTGATGCTAATGATGATGAAAATAAAAACGAATACAATGTTATGTAAATATGTCTGACATAGAAAACGTATATATGTATACAGGAGTAAAAAAAAAAAAAAAAAAAATGATATAGTGATGGATGTTCATAGAAATATGGAAATGAAATGAGTATCAATTCCACACTGGGAAAAAAATCAAACGATGAACTCGGGCAGAAACGCTCTCTACGTATTAAATTTGAATGAATTTATGGTTTTACATGATTTTATTGAGTCTTGGAGTACATAGCATAAATCTGGACCACGATGCTCTATTGATTGATGCAGGATCCCAAATGTAGGATTAATGAAAAAAAAACTTTACTTCCGGTTAGGGTGAGAATAGATAGTGTTATCGAATACCAAGAAATTCTTAAATTAATCAGGAAAAAGGTTTTGCATGTATTTAAACATTAAGATCATACTCTGTTATGTGTTTATATCAAAGATGGTCAAAGTTTTAAATTAATAAAAATAATGGTTTTGTATGGGCTAAAAACAGGGAGTTAGCATATATGCGAAGCGCTTTTTATTGGCAAAAAAATAGGGTGAATTTATATAACTTTGCATTCGAAGCCCACACCAAGGAAGCAGGTTATTCATGAATTTAAACATAATGTAAAATTGTGTTGTGCGTGCATATCAAAGATTGATAAGGTCCTATATTCATAAAAAAACGGATTTGTATGGGCTAAATAATGGGAGTCGACACAGATACGAAGCAATTGTTTTTCACCAATAAATAAATCGGGTTAATGTATGCCTTTGCAATTGAAGCCCACCCCAACTTACAATATGAAATGTGTGGCAAGATGAACAAGTTATATAGCATTAAAAGAGATTTCAAAGGAAGATATTTTGTTCATATTCCAGCTAAGATTTTTATAATTGCTAATACCTAAAATTTGTGTTCATTTCTTACGTCCTAAGGGTATGTTATCAATTACAATAATATAAAGAAACACTGGGGTATGTGCATTTATATGTTTAGAGTGTATGAATCTCGTTTTTATTAATACTAAGAGATTATATCATTAATAAACAGTAAGAAAAGAAGAGGACCTATTATTAATCCTTGTGGGACTCCAAGATATTCAACAACAACAACAAAATATGCCCCACATACTGTTGCCGGAATGATACAAAAATCTCTAAACCGCGAGAGAGCAACTCCTCGAGTTCATAATTTTGAAGCTTTTAAATCAAAATATTTTGATTTAGCGTTGTTATGTTATTGATATCAATATTATTATTCATATTATAATTATTATTATGTTTAACATTATTTTTGCTGTTTTCCTTTTTATTACAGACGACGGTCGGCCGTTTCGAGGAGACGAGCAATCCGTTTTTGAAGATATTATGAGGAACTACAACAAACACATGAGACCTGTACGGAATGACAAAGAAATGGTTGTGGTGGATTTCACGATCAAGCTCAAACAGATCGTGGACATCGTAAGTATACTTTTCTTTACATTTTATTTCTTTCCACCCTTTTCATATTTTACAGTAATTTTATAGCTGTAAGCCCACCTTCATGTTCCTTTTTTTTTTCATAGTCTAAATAATTATACAGGAGGATAAGATCACAACTACTTCTGAAAAGTCAAGTCAAGGGCCATTTCGATACCCTATCGTATGTGCTATAGAAATCATGTTCAGATTACGCAATACGTGATTGTAAGTTGTTCGCGCATTTCTAACAAGAAATGGACAAGGCTAATGATATTAAGTCTTACGTTTATTTTCCGAAAGGTTTGCGATCTTCCTGACTATAAATTCGAAATGCAGGAATCATAATTTAGGATCGCTTCATTTGGAGTGGAAATCCACGAGCAAATAGTGAAATCCATTCTCCAAAGAGTAAGTCCAAAACTACCTGGGGCTGGCGTTCACTAGAATTTAGATTATATTCAACTCAATTGACTAGTCCCAAATATGACGCCGTTAAATGAATTGTCTATTCATTGATAGAGTAGTATTTTTAAAGATATTTGTCCCTTTATAAGGGGGAATTTCATAAACCAGCTTTGCAGATGGCTTATGTGCCCCACATGGGATATGCCGTACCTCGTTTACATTTTGTGATTTAAGATAATTTCACTTTCATTCTTTGAAATATTCTTGAGCTATGGACCGGCTTTCATCCTCATGATGGTTTCGCGATATCTAAATGTATATAAAGAACATAAAGAGTGCCAAAAGTTCTGTTTGGCAGTACGAGAGGGATGGTAAATGCTCAGAGGCTAAATTGGACACCTTTTCATCTGTCGTTTATTTACCCATCTCCCTCCTCTTTCCAAGATCTTGATAGGGATTGAGGGTAGGCCTCTTCTCCAACCTCTCTTCCTCCCCTTCCCCCATCACTCTCTCTCTCTCTCTCTCTCTTTTTAGGCACTCGCCGGCATTTTTAGAGCTCTTTTTGTTTCGAATTTTTTCTGCTTATTTCACCCTTTCTGTTTCTCGTTGTCTCTCTTTTTCCAATTAATCAGATCACCCTTCTCTCTCCCACTCTCCAGATTACTTGCATTTGTTTCTCGGCCTTTGCATCAAGAATTTATTTCCCTTGATCACTTCATATTTTTGACTTTTGGTGTCTACATGTTTACACTCTCTCTCGATCATTTTTTTTTTTTTTTGGTCTCTTGGTTTCTTAATACCATGACTCCATCTCTCGCTCTCTCTCTCTCTCTCTCTCTCTCTCTCTCTCTCTCTCTTGCTCTCTTATCCCCCTCAATTGCCCGGAATCGATACGACATGCGCCCTATCATCATCGTTCCCTCGTCATGCTCGTTTGTCTTGATCCAACAAACCCATTGAGATTAGATCTCAAATTCCTTCCCCATCATCAAAACCCTCTTCTCCTGCTCATCTCTCACTTTATTCCTCTCCCTCAATCGTCCTCACTATCTCCTCTTTGATAGGGAATAAACATAAAAGAAAGAAAAAATCCGGCTAAAAGCGGCCCATCATAGATAGCTCACCTGCCGATAAGTCTTCTGCACACATTGGCAGCGAGCCGAGCTACCCAAAGGCTCGAGCACGAAATGGAGTTTGTCACAAACGATGAACGAGTGCCGATGGTTATGGCAGTGGCGGATTCAGGATATTCGGGCTAATCCGAAATTCTATAGAGAAATCCAAATATAATAAACGAACAAATAAAATCTGCATAAAAAAGTGATAAATAATAAGACGAATACCATGCATTTTTTAAATTTTAAATGTATAGGTCACAGATTCTTTCGATACTTTGGCACTTGATCTACAATTAAGGTGTGCTGGGGGAAGGGGGTGGGGTGCCTGTCCGATCAGCCCCTGGATGGTTTGGCGGATTCTTTCTATTATATCTTTCTGTCATTGTAAAGTTCAAGTTCTCTGGCTTTACGCCAAATATTTCGGTGCGCCACAAACGAGATCGATCTGAGTATGAGTGAACAGAAAGATGCTATTCATTATATTTCATCTCCTAATAAGATGATGGAACCCATTGAAAACAATCACTTTGTCATAAAAAATACTGTTTTTACCGAAAAAACCCACCCATCAAAAATGAAATGAAATGAATACATGGGACTTTAAAAAAAAAGAAGCAGTAACACACAAATAAAAACAGAAAGAACGGTAATAATGGAAATAAGGAAGTGCTAATTATGCAGAACAATGAGTGAAATTACAAATATCATGATTAACATGATTGATAGCATAAATAATATAGTTAGAGTATAGGCATGCATAAAATTGCAAAGCACTAAGATAGAGTAAAAGGCGCGAAGATCGGCTATGGAACGAAGTAAGCCTTATTCATTAGCGTCCCATCATGAACGAATTATTTAGCTAGTTCTGTATGAAATAAGCACACATCCCAAACTCTCAATTTCATGATGGTAATTTGAAAAATTTGTGAGGACTGTCACACGAAAAAGTTATGTAAGCGCTTAATTTTTCCAATTATTTGGTAATGTACTGATGTTAACAATTTCCTGGCATTTTTACAAATATATCTTTTGAATCAAATGCGAACTGCTCCAAAAAGGAAGTGTATATCAAGTCAAACTGTTTACCTCTTAATATTGATTTATCTTTCTGGGTTATCCAAACAGTATTCGATTATTTGAAATAGTCATTATGAACTTTCCAATCGTATTCCTCAATTAACTCAGTTGTCATAATTCTGATACAGTCTTATTTGATATCGCACATTCTTAGTATTATTGGAGAATAATAATGACTTCCGATAATGATCGTGTATAAACGTCTGTGTCCGCCATGCATTGCTTTCTGCATCGCTCCTGGCGCTCCGATACATTTTCCCTTCCTCCCTGGCAATACCTTGAAACTAATTTCTATTATTACTAACTTCTTGTACAAACAACGAGATGTCCCCGTTACATAAAAAATGAAATCATATCGCCCATAGACTGAATGCGGCTACATCATATTTTTTCATCATGACAAGTCATGCAATTCAGACGGCTAATATAAATCAATACAATTTCAACGAACCGTTATTATTCGGTTTGAACATGAAACGAGCATAGACGCCTGTTAAATATTCATAGTATTTTTCATATTTCTGTTTTCCCTCCAAAACGCGACCAGATTATGTACGATCACGAAACGAGATCGATTACGGGTGAGACGCTGTGAGACGCGTGTCACCGCATACGATGGAGCGAATGAAAATGTGCAGTAATTTCGGCGGGGGAACGTAACCCGGATGCAAATTAAGCTCCAGTTTTTGTTTTTAATTCTGAGGATGGAGATGAAGACGTGAAGAGGGAGGATGGGGTAATCATTCAAATTGATGATTAGGATTTTCGGTGTTTGAAGCTAAGGGACCGATTTGTCTCTTCGATCGAGGTTTGAAGGAGTAGCGGTGGGAGTTTCGTGAGGTCTTGAATATTGGTCGACGCAATCTCCAGATTTGTTTGTGCTATGGTTGTATACATTATACAAGGAGCATGTGGCGTATAGTCCTATGTGTAAAGACGCAAATTAAAACAAGAATTGTTGTTCCAATGACGGACCTTGCACACAATGCATTATTTTGATTGCGCTATTACCTCCGCTGATCAAGGTAATTTGCAGGGAATTAGTCGCACGCGTCAGTAGTTAACCCAATATAGCACTGTTCATTTCCATTCAATCTCTCCCCCCCCCCCTGAAATAATGATGACATGGCGCGCCAAATAGAGCATTAATTGATGACGCAATCTTGCGTCAGTAAATGGCGGATCTAGTGCAACCGGCATTAGCATTTCAACGGCCCCAGCCATTGTTGCAGGCAAAGTTCTACATTTTTCTGCTTGTGTTTTAATCTGTTGGTGATTTGCTGTTATCAAAACCCTATCAGCAAATCAGCAAATCTGAAGATTTTCTAAATGGATATTGTAAGATTTTCGACTTATTTGTCGGCATACTTGTACCCCTTCCATTTGAGATGTTCTTGAGACACCCCGTGAAAGGAATATCGCTTGGCGACGTAGAACCATTGAGACCTTGGGAAAAATAATTGGTGGTGTGATATTGCACATTTCCTCGAGATTTCCACACGTATGGATGCCCCTTTTCTTCTCTAAGCTGTTGCTGTCACTCAGTTTCTCTCGTTTCCCTCTGTTCAATCTCTATAATCACTTGTTTGAAATCGTCGAACGACTGTCACGTTATGAACTGTAAGAGCAGTGGCGTGGCTATTGGGGCATGGAGGTATATTATGTCCCCGACTGAATGGCGAAAGGGGGGGGGAGAGATAGGGCTCAATGGAGAAACAAAAATGCGAATTAGATATCCGATAGAGAGAGAGAGAGAGAGAGAGAGAGAGAGAGAGAGAGAGTGATAGAAGAAAGGGATAAGGGGGAGGGAACATGGACTCCACTCACAACCTACCACAATTGATGTCATTGTTTAGTGTTAGTTCTTCCAAATTGTAAGACCAGGGGCGCTCCCAATAATACCAGTGCCACCCCCCCCCCCCCCCCCCCCCCCCTCTCCTCCTCTCGCGGCTTGGATCACGCTACGCTGCAGTTTTTGAGGCAAGTGGTATTTGATGAGAGACATTGCGCCAGGCGTACTACGAAGGTGATCAGATATGTTGGCACATAAAACGTTGACAATGGGGCGGATCCAGGATTTATTTATCAGGGGTTTGGGGTGCATAAGTCCGGAAAATCTCAGAAAAGGTAACCCTCAAGAACATTTTTCTCTGTGTTTTGTGCACCCAAGGTTTGCCATATTCGGGTTTTTCCGGGTTTTTTTCTTCCTCTAGGGGCACTCATTTTGGATCCGTCACTAGAAAGAAATGATGTGACAAAAATCAATCGTAATCTGCTCTTGTTCTTCCACTTCATGGGATTCATTGTAAGCTTGTGGCCATTCTCGTTTCTTGACACATTGATTCGAGTGTTATCTCCGAGTATACGCCTTCACGAATGTCTCAATCGTCTCCACCCTTC